TACGTCAAAATCAAAACACCCACGCCTACAAACAAAGTCCACAGATGCTCTGCCACCCATCCGACCGCTTTACTCGCCACGTTAAAAATCCAACTCAAAACGCTACCGATGATTCCGGGCAAAGCGCCAAAAGCTTTCAACCCGAGTTTCTTCGACACGTTTGCCAGGTTCCACAGTTGACGTTTGATCCAATCGGTAATTCCACCTTTGGAAGGAGGGGCCGGCGTTGGATTAGGTGCAGCTGTGCTCGTTGCTCCGCTTGCTCCGGCAGCTCTGACGCTAGCTACGATGCTGCTAACGATGGTACTTACTGCTAAACTAAAAGCCGTTAAAATGCTTACGATCGTGACGCCTTGTTCTTTAAATAAAATATTAATTCGTTCGCGTAGTGTTAAATCCGAATCCATCACTGCCGTAATCGTTTCTTTAATTCGATTAATTTGACTCCTCAATTGATCGGTATTTCTATTGATGACTTCTAATCTACCCCGTCTTTCGACTCGTAAGTCGTCCAATTGCTGTTGAAGTTCAGTACGTTCTCCTTCAGATGTCGCTTCTTCCAACTCGGCTTCGACCTGTTGAATTTTTGCGTCTAAATTATCTAATTTACCTTGATTTAAAATTAATTCTCCTTTTACCGTTTGTAACGATTCGTCTCAGGCGACCAACTCACGATAGTTTAATCCTTCTGTTTGTATCTTGGGTGAGCTCTTCTACAATGTCACTGACTTGGTCTGATATTTGGGGAAGCTCTTCCATAGGAATACTCTCGGGTCGAATGGATTTTAAGTTTGATTTAGCTTTTTCTACACTTAATCCAAAACTTTCAAACCCTAGTTCTTCTCTAACAAATTTTTGAGCTTCACCCCTTCCGGTGTATCCAGCATTTTTAGCGTTTTCAACAGTTTTGTCAAGCTTAACAAACTTATTTGGATTGTCCATGCAGGTCAACAGCACATTACCTTTGTTGCCCATGTAAAATAGGCCTTCACCATCACGATATTCAAATTTTGTGTAGATAGGTCGCGATGGTTTATCTTCTCTGTCGCTAAAGTGTTTATAAAATTTATTTACTTCATCTTCAATATTAAGTCTTCATCTTCAGTGAGCCCCCGTCGTAGATCTTCCACAAGGCTTGTTTCTCGTTGATCCGAGGGTAGACCATTCTCAACAAAATCTTGGTCGTCTTGTTTGTCCTATTCTAATTCTTCTTGTTCACGCTCTTGTTCCATTTCGAATCCCTCTTCCTCCATTTTAAAATAAGGAAACTTAACTACTACTCATAGGAAAACTCGCGGGCAATATACCTTGCGCTACCAACCAACCCTGGGTGGCCAATGCACCGCTAGACAGCGCGGTCAATTTCAACGCGTCTTCGGCAGATAATTTATTTAGATCCGGCGGTTTGATTTTAAATAGCTTGCTCGATAGCATGGCGTAACCCATGGAGATTGCCGAAACGACTGCACTGTGGTAAGCAGTGTTGACGATTCCGTTTACGTCGATTGATTAAGCGTTACTCATATTTAAAAATAGGGAGTTCTTAAATTTATTCCATATCTAAAATCTGTTCTTCAATTTTATTTTTTTGGCTCGAGTTTGCTTTGTTTTGGTCGCTTTTTGGTTGAACTAATTGGTTCTTGTTTGTTTCGGCTTTCATGGGTGTCAACTTGTTTTTCCAAATTAAATAGACCGCAAGCGCTCCAATGGCCAATCCACCAAATATCAAGTTTCTGTTCTCGATGACTGTTTGATAAATTTTATTTTCTGAGCTGAAGTTCTGGTTGCTCTCTTCGCAGCTCGCTTCACTCGCTAATTTTATCTTGGCGAGCTGTTCATCTTTTTGTTGTGCTCGGCTAATTTCTTACCTTGTTCTACATGCTTCGGATTTTTAACGTGTACTTTATTTTTAGTTTCCGTCTGTACGTTCTTCTTTACCGGAGTGTTCGCTGGGTTGGTTGGAATACTCGCTTCGCTCGTTTCGCTCTTTTCATTCGCTTGTTCGTTCGTTGACATCTTCTTTTAATATGACAGAGCTTTTGTTGAATTCCAGGTGTTTAGTGGTAATCAGCATAGCTGGAAGTGGTGACAGATACACTCCGTACTTGTAACAGATCTCGGTAAGTAAGTGACCCATGGTCTGACTGATAATCCGGTGGTCGTTTAGGTCTTTGGTCAGCGCTCCTTCAGACGTTAAGTTGACGTTAAACCCCAGTAGATCGATTGGAGTAGCTATACCGAGTAAGCGAGAGTAGAGGCTCAAAATCGCATTACCTAGAGTTTTAACGATCTCTTTGCCAAATTTAACTTCGTACAAATTGAATAGCTTCTCTTGGTCTTTGGTTGACAGAGCTTCAATCTCTTTAATCAAGGATTCTTTACCTAGGTACTTCTTACTTTCGCCAGAGGCAGCTATCGAACAGAGTCCGTCTTTGACGCTCGCTACACTCGCTTCGGTTGATTCGCTTTTTGAATCGGTGAGAATGCTTTTGATGTTGTCCATTTAAATATATACATTTGAAATTTGTTGTAGGTGTGCTTTAGGCGTAGGTACTCGACTGTGTAGTAGGTCAAGTTAGCTGCTATAACTAGTTGAATAAGTAGTTGAACTAGCTCAAACATTGTTGCTTATTTGTAAAATAAAAAAAGTTATAACCAGGCTGACGTAGCCTAGCTATAACAAAAGTTAAGTAGTAAGTTAGCTACAATAACTAGCTTTCAAATCTTTAGATGACGTGACAATTAATTTAGCAGACTTTTTAGCGTTGTTACACTTTAAACAGCAAAGCACAATGTTAGACTTCATGTGACCAGTAGAGTTATCTAATTGTTCAATGGTGCATAGATCGTCTTTATATTCGATAAGCTGCATCTGTACCTCACAATCTGGGTAAAAGCAGCAAGGATAATCTTCAATCAGGCCACGGCAGAAGTCTGTGTCAATAAAACAATCGGGATCAAATCTATTGTATTTTGTATCTGATTGGCGGCAATGATAAATCCATCTTTGAATTGTCAGTTCAATTGGATCTGAGCAAATTTTACAATCTTCTCTCCGTTTTTCGTGAATACAAATTGATGCCCCGTCACATTTAACGCATTGATTTCTGCGTTTCCCGTGTTCACAAATTGATGCCCCGTTGCATTCAACGCATCAAGATCTTTGTCTTCCATGTTCACATATTCCTGACCCACCACAATTAACGCACTGTGATTTCTGCTTCCTGTGTTCACATATTCCTGAACCACCACATTCAACACATTGTGATTTCTGTCTCCCATGGGGGCACTTGTTTAACTCTTTGATACCGTTTTACTTTAACTAAACAATCATTACAAGTCTCGTTAATTTTACCCGTTTTCTGCATTTTAAAGTTTGATGAGTCCAGGAGCCAACGACACTAAGCACAATTTTTTTTATTTTCAATCATATTCTACACTTTTATTAAATATAACTAAAATATTTCTCATTTTTACTGAACGAGATAATTCACCGGCGGTTCTGTATTTAAAATTAGCTTACTAAATTTCACGTCGCGCAAATATTTTTTTATTTGATCTCGTTTTTCATCCGGTACTACGTCGTTTTCGTCGAGACATTGGTCAAAGGACGATCTCTCTTTGCAATGAAAAATAGCGGTCCAGGCAGTATTCTCTCTAAAATCTTTTAAAACGGAATTATACTTTTGGGTAAGTAGCCAGCAGCTGTGAAGGTAATGTCGGCCCGAGAACGCCATCTTACTGAGAGCGCACGTATTGTTATTCTTGGACCTCTTTCGATACTTAATAAATTGATCAGCTGCGCATTCGTCAATGATAAACAACGTGTTCGTTCCATCGAAAATCTTTTGATAAAGTTCGATTGCCTCGTTTAATTCTAGTCTTTCCCGATCTAAATCACACAGATAAACGTTTTCGTCGGTGTATATCCACGGCCATTCTAAATAGTTTTATTCTTAAAAAGGACAGATAATCATGATAGCTTCAAACGCAAATTTATGTTCAGTCTCTAAAAGATTTAAAATCCAGTTAGTCTTCCCACTACCCGTCTTACCCACGATCAAGGCACAGTGGGGTAATTTATACCATTCACTTTGTTCACTCATTTTAATAAACCAAACTCTTAAAGTTTCCTTCTTCCACCGTGAGTTTAGAATCCATCACCAGGAACACGTACATCGTCAGAGGTCCCGCGGTTACGCTCGCTCTTTCCATTTGAATCGATATATCCCCGCCGCCGCCTCGTGGCCTACCCGATCCGTGAGCGCTGTTATCGTCGGAACTTCTGAAATCGAGCGAGAGACCGTACTTATCTCTTAAGTATTCGGCCATATCGTTTAGGTCCTTGGCCACCGCTCTCGCCAATTCTCTATCCGAATCGCCAAAATATTTTGTAACTTCATTCCAATGTTGATATTCAAACAGACCCCGCAAGTACATTTAATTTGATTTAACCTTATTTTAAAAATGGCTAGTGCTTTGATGATGGTGGGAGGAGTGATAGTAAATGCCTTGGCATTCACGGGCTCAAATTTTTTATTTAGCAGTTTATAAAAAAACGGTGAAGCAAGCGGAGCGAGCGAACGAAAGCGTCACGACCTAGCGTTAGAGCAATTGGCGCAAGCAAAACAAGAGTGGGAACAAAACCGCGTACACATGCTAGACTTTTTAAACGAATGAATGCGACAAGAACGCGCAAGTCAGCAGACATTGTAAACGTGGGCGAAGCCCTACGAGCTTATTCGGAATTGACCAGTAAGAGTATCACGCCGTTACCGCCAAAGCCTAAATTGTCTGATTTTTACGAGCCTTCCGAGGATCAAAAGATTCGCGAGTTTGTTTGGATTATATCCGGGATGGCCTTGGTCGGTTTCTTAGCTTATCGATTTTCGTAACTTTAAAAACTAGTATTTTTAAAATGGACCAAACTTTTAAAAATTATTTTACAGCCCACAGGGTTACTGGCGAGGAGAAAGCGCGGTCGATCATCTACACGAAAAGACCGGTGCTGACAAATCAAAAAAGCAGGCCATTTGGCAAATATATTTACCAAAACCAAATTACGTACCCAGACCTACAATGTTGCAATCAGAATCGGTCGAACCTAATTACGCGCATCAAATGGACGTATTTTATTTACCCTGGGACCGCGTTAAAAGAAAAACATTTAAGTACGCTTTGACCGTGGTAGACGTGGGTTCCCGGTATAAAGAAGCCGAGTCGTTGACCAGTAAAACCGCCGAGCAAGTGAGCGAAGCGACCAAGAAAATTTACGAGCGATCACCTCTGACTTGGCCCAAATTCGTAATGGTGGACTCAGGATCTGAATTCAAAGGCGAGTTTAAAAAGTTAATGGTAAAACACGGAGTAGAAATTCAAGTGGGTGTGCCGGGTGTTCACAGATCTCAAGGAATCGTGGAAAGGTTTAACCGCACTTTAGCCGAGCGTTTATTCGGCCACCAATACGCTCAAGAAATGATAAACGTGGGTGAGCGAAACGTTTGCCCCAGGTCGTGAAATCGTTAAACGAGGAAAAAACGCGTTTAATCGATGCCGTTGCTGCAGAAGCTATAAAATTAGCAAGCGTAGCGAGCCAAACACCCAGTGCACCTGTAAGAACTACCCAAAGAGAACTTTCTCCAGACGCGGTCGTTAGGTACCTCTATTACCCGGGCGAGCAAGAGGGCGACACCGTCAGAAGGGCAACAGATCCGGTCTGGTCCGTGGACGTTTACCAAATTGAAAAGCGCACCAGTCAATTCAAACGGGTGAATGGCAAGCGGATAAAAACGGGCCCAACTTTATATTATCTGTTAAACGGTCCAAATAGAAGTTTCATCAAAGAGGAACTTCAGGTCGTACCCGAGGATACCGAATTACCGAATTAGCTTATGCCCATAAGCTAACGTATCGATTCCATTCAGCAATATATAGCGGTTTGTGTCCAATGGCGAGAGGCTTAGTTTGTTTTGCGACAGAGTAAATATCTGATGTTTATCTGATCTAAATAATTGCTGTTTATTGAAATAAGAAACCCGGTCAAATAGGCAGCTTTTATACATCTCGTGGGTTAACCGTTTCTCGGTTACTACTTTTGTGACCCCTTTCGCCTTCTTTAAATTTTGTTCTAAAATTGTTTTGCCACCAAATTCGTCTTTCATTTTGCCTATGACTTTTTTATTTTTGGTGCTGTAAAGTCGATGATCGGGCGGGTAATTACTAAAGTCAAATAATGAACGATTTTTACTCAGGTAGCCGACCAAGGAATGCTCGCTTCGCTCGATCTGAACTAATAGAGAATCAGTGTCCGTGTAAAGTAAGCGTACCCCCTCACCGAAATTTGCTTTCAGCTCGTTGTAATAAAAATCGTACATCAACGTTTTTGAGATATCGAGAATACTTACACTGCAATAGATTGGCTTATTTAATTTTGTTTTGGTTCGGTACATCTCCACAAACGAAAGCTCGCACTCCTCAAGTGGTACCGTCGATTTGTAATTTGGTTTATAAGTTAATTTTCTGTATTTGTCAGCGTCTTGTACGTCCCTCAGTAAATGACCGTCAATTCGATATCTGACATTTTCCATCGTCTTGCCAAAGACCGAGTTGTTCATCAATTTGAAAAAGTCTGTCTCAAAATCAGACTTGGCCAATTTGTGCAATTTTGTGTTTTTATCGATGTAGCTATTCATCCACGGCTTTTGACGGAATTTCAATACTCGGTGAACTTCTTTGATCCACAACCCGAGATTGAGATATTTTTGCAATGTACGATAATGGCACACATATTTTCGTTTGGTGTCCAAAGTGGCCACTAGTTTGTCTACCGAGGTTGCTTCGCTCGCTACTCCGTTGCTAATCAAATTTTGTTGATAGCTTGAAAGCCATTCGTGCGGTACCGACATATTTTCGGGTGCAAGTGGAAAGTCATTGTGTTTGTCATGGTGACGTTCCGGGTAATCCATAGTCGTCAGTTAGTCGCAACTCTTGGATGTAATAGTACGTAAATTTTTCTAAGTCCGTTTCCCAGGTAAATTCCCCTACAGGCAGATATTTGCTCATCGCCCAGCCGTATAAATTATTTGTGTCTAGGTACATGATCTGTGACTCTGGCTTATCGGGGTCGTAATCAGGTACTGTAGTTCTGGATTATTGGCCTTTGCATATCGCTTGGCTCCCACACTCGAAATACCACCTCTTTTTGCCCTTTCAAAGAACAAGTGCTTATCAATGTCTGTCAGTAGTTCCAATTGTATACCCGAATGTTTTAACAGTGCATCCCACGATAGACCCGGTGACGTGTAATAGTTGGCCGGGTCAAGGCCGTCGTGTTGTTTACAGACTTTACGGAAGTTTTCAAAAACAGCCGCTAGCAATAACACGTCCGTTTCCGCGTATAGGTCATGGTAGTCGCCTAGGTTTTTACAGNTGTGGACTGCTTCAAAGAGCTATAGAAAGCGTCTATAGGCGGGAGTTT